TCAAAAGGTTAACATGGACTCTATGTTGGACTTACCAGTGATTTTTTCATTTTCATATTTTATTCATTTACATTTTCTAACTTGTCTGCAATGAGCTTTTTTTTTTCTTTATGATCAACCGAAAAGGACCAGCTTTTAAAAAAGTATTAAACTGGAAATAAAAATTAAAAATAAGGAGGGCTAGAGAGTAGGTGAATGCACTGGTGGGTAGTCTCATTTACTTTGTGGACTCTGCCATCACTGCAACCTCCTCAGATGTGTGCTTGACATGACCTGTCAGTGTAAGGCCAGCAGAGGAAGGAATGATGGCTGTTGGTGTGAGCCAGACAGGCTGTGTGTCCATGCACCGAGGGTTCAACCTCACTGTATTTGTAATAGTTCCCAGACAGGTATATCTGCACAGCCTCTCTTGGCTCCAGCCTTGAGTTGAACAGTTGAGTGTCTTGTGGTGTGATCCTAAGAGATGCCAAAATTTCAAGAGCTCTCGAAGGAAGGCAATGATTTACCTAGAAGTATTGGTCTGAGTATTTCTTGAAATAATCATCCTGCCAGGTTTGAGTGGATGATGTCAAAGCACCTCAGGTTGATGAATTTCCTTTATCTCTCCTTTTCTTTCCTCAAGCCTTCCTTCTTCCCAGATTTATTTGGACTTCTGACAACTTGTAGCCATTTCTAAACTAATTAACTCTTATGGAGTGACTAGTTGGTAGGTCAAAATCATTTTTATCTTATTGAGAAAGAGAATAAGGCAGAGAGAAAACAGGCTACTGTGCAGTCAGTTTAAATCCAGCCTTAACTCCTTTTACTAGTCTTGGTTAGAAATCACCATCTTCATTATTTTCATCAATTTATTCTCTGCAAATGGTTACCACGACTACCCCACCTCCTTCATTTCCAAATCTAACTGACATACTGGGCCGTTTATCACAGGCAACCAGTATCAGAGAACCAAGCTCTGTAACAGGCAGGACATTTTCAAATAGGCACAGATTGTGGTGCTGGAATATTCCTTAGAAACCTCACAATTAGAGAGCATAAATGCAGCAAGCTAATTGTCCAACAGTACCCAAGAAAAAGTTATCAGACTCACACCTGTGATTAAATCATTTCCTCTCTTAAAAGTAACACTAAATCCTAGGAGACCAGAGTTCATATTCCCACAGTACAATATAAATATGGCTTTAAGATGGTGTCCATTGCTGAAACTTCTCATATTTAAGAGCCATATTTAAGGACATTTTAGAGTCTCTGACATCTCTGTTAACTCCCCGTGTTCTCTGAGAGAGTTCATCCACAGCCGTGGCTTCTTCCTTTACATGTTAGCCAAAGACAGAGCCAGTGGTATATCTTTGGTCTTCTTCACATCACTGATAATTCCAACAGAGTGACTGTCCCCAGACAATCCTAAGCCCAAGTCTGACTGGCCTTCATATCTTCAGCACTCTCCAGGACATCCTTTCTTCTAAGCTCAGGCTCATCACGGACTCCCTTCTTCTCTCTAACATTCCATGAAAGTTTTATTAGTTCTTTCTTCACAGTCTCTCACATTTACTATTTTTTTTAATCACTTACAAAATGTACTTCTGGTGACAAAACATCAAACAAATATGAAGATCCCCAAAGATACTATTAACTAAAATAATAGGATACATTGTCTATTTACATCACATACTTTGATGTTGATTTTGATAAAGTGGCTGATGTCTGGCTGTTTCTATAGTTGAGGTAATTATGAAAAATCTATGAAATCTACTGAAATACTGAGATTGCTGGTCAGTTACCACTATCTGTTATTCTTTCCTGAAGTGATGTATAATTAGGACCCTCATTCCAAGTCACTGCAAAGTGAAATTTTTTTTTGCATGTTGCATTTTATGTTTGAGAAGATATTCTAATTTTTTCTGACTTTCCAAGAATAAAGAGCTCCATAAGTGACCCATTCAACCATGGAAATTACTTTATCAAATACTATGCATAAGTTCATCCTTCTATGACACTAATTGAAGAAGAAACTAGATCTTGGGATCATCACGTTTACTACTTTTAATGATCTCCTCACTTCCCCCCTGCCTGTGTGCACTACTGGGGTAAGATGACCTGTCACACTGGTTTCCTGCAGAGAGGGCTCTCCTGCTTCCATCTAGTTCACAGCCCATGGGAATAGTCCAAGTCCAACGGAGAGTGACTGAATCCACTTTGTTAGATTACAAATGGGACCAAGAATAGGCTCTAAAAAGTTTAAGTCAATGTTTTTGCTGGAATTCCTCTTCATCATAGCATACAAAGGCGGAATCATATTGTTTCTGAACCAAGAGAACAACCATAATGGACAGTAATTTCAAACCCATGTCAGAAGAGCCTCTCATCAATTCGAGTTGTAGCACAGTGGGATAGTACTAGTGGGGTGTGAGAGTGGGGTCCCTCGGGGATCTCTGAGAGGGTGTAGCAAGCTTACATGCTTCAGTGAGGTGTTCTGAAACTCCAGATGTTTGCAACCTAATACAGCCCTCTCCATTCCTCTTGCGTTCTACCTGCTGGGAATCCCAGAGTCTGTTCTTCTGGTCCATACTCCCTCATTCCAAATCCTGCAGTGGATAAACCTGCTCTCCTCCAGACAATGCTCCCTGATTGCCCCATCCCAAGACTTTTCAGTCCAAGTCGCTGCTACCTTGGGCACTTAAGTAGCCCAGAAGGCAGACAAGGTTATGGGATACCTGTTATGTCCCAGCTTCTGTTCCCAGATTTTTTCTTATTTGATTTATATACAATAATCCTATGAAAACACTATAAGTTTGGGGTTCTTTTTTTAACCCATTTTAAAGGAGAAACCCAGTATCATACAGGTAGTAAAACTGGGTTTGAACCAAGATTTTCTAACTCTGAGTTCTGTGTATTTGAATAAAAGAGACAAAATGAAAAGGGCAGGAGTAAAGGGACCTCATCCCTGGACCCTGAACTGTGTGGGGTTGGGTCAGTGTGCATAGGGAATCCTGTATATTGAAAAGGTAATCTGACCTGTCCATCTGAATATACATGAAAGTATATTGTTGCCAGCAAAAATCATGAACATTGGTGTTTAAAGTAGTTATTGGGAGCTGAAAAAGAGAAAACAGGAAACTAACGTACTTGGTGGAAACATAAAAGAAAACTCACCACAGTGCATTTTTAGCCTATGCCTAGTCATCGTGTAATACACTAACAAGTACTCATATCCTTAATGTGTTAGCTTAACATTGCATAAAACATTTTTATTTTAATGCTGCTCTGTTTTAATATGCCTAACTAGCTTTCATGTAATATGTCATCTAATAGTAACTTTAAATGAAATCAGAGGTGCTAATAGTAAAGTAGTAATCAGAAGAGATGGACATGGATATTCCCAACATTTAGTGTTGTTTGTACATGTCATATATTTATTGGATCTGAGTCAGACGTCTGCACCAGGATTGAAGTAAAATGTCATCTCATTGTTGCTGTTTTATTCCCTAGTATAAGCATTCACGATAATTCAACCAACAGCGGTGCCCTTTGACACAGCAATTCCACTTTTAGGATTCTGTTTTCATGTATCATTTAATCAGTCCTCTCTTGTGTAGGACCCTATCTTTGTGAGCTGAAAACTAGAAAAATTAGAAAGAATTAAGAGTTACTGGGTACCTACTGTGTGTCAAACACTTAGGTTTGTTATTGCTTAATCTTAATTAATCCTGAGAAGTAGATGTGTTACCTCTCTTGAAACCAAGTCATGCAAAGATCAAGTAGCTTTCCCAAGATCTTATAGGTAGTCAATACCTGGTTTAGAATTAAACTCAGATTTGATCTCTTCAAAGCCCATGCTCTTTCCAACATATCAATGATTTAAACATTGTATTCAGTAGAAACGCCTTGAAGTGGTGAGCAAGGCCAAAGGGAAGGCTGAGTGAGGGGAACTCATCTCTTACCCTCTCTTCACCCCCTTTACAATAAAAAATAATATTCTAGTATGTCACATACTGGTATATGGGCTTAACATTTAAAAGAACTTCACATAGTTCTGTAATGTATACTGATGGGTTGGTGTCATATTAAAAATGAAATAATCTATCATTGACCATCAGTCAAGAACATAGTGAGTTGGTAAGGTACCCAGGAGTTATAAGCAAAGGCTTAAATGAATTTAATTTGGAATTTTGTAAAGGTGGGGTTAGGGAGGTTTGGGGTAATGAAGGTTGCCTACCCCTGGGCCAGTCTCAGCTTATCCTTCAGAATGAGGATTCACAAAGGGGGTTCCCACAAAGTTGGATGAACCTATTATGGTCAAATTGTTCACAACATAGTGTCAACACAACTTGATGTTTCATTTAAGCTGCTTAATAAAACCCAGATACCACCACACTGGTGAGTGCAAAACTTGTTATTCTTTTAGGAGAGGGCTCTTGGATTTTAAACTGGATGACTTACTTATTTTTTCATTCATTCATTTGTCCATCCATCCATCCATTCATTTATTCTGGATGGTAGGGGAAGATCAAGCACAGGTATTTTGCCCAAGGAAGTGAGCTAGAGATGAAACCTTTGAGACTCACTCACTGTTCGAAGTCACATTTCTGCTATTGGTGCTATTTTCTTATGCAAAGGTGTGGAAACCTTTCAAAATGTTTGAATATTCATTCAGACTTCTCACAAACCTTCATTACTTTAAGGTCTGGGTGGCATGGGACAGGTGTTAAATTACTGTCAGGTGTTTGTGTGTGGGGGAGGAATAGAGTAAACTTTTCCTAACTACCCACTTTGCTTATGGGTCCCTGTCAGTTCTTATGAAGCAAGCAAAGCAGTTTCACATGACAAAGACTGGGGAAAAGACCAAATAGAGATGAAGATAACAAGCATGTTATTTCTTTGAAATAAGTACCTAGGGTCACAACATTTTAGAATATGAAACAGAGACTTCCGACTAGAGAAGTGTGTTTTCCATTTCGTGCTTGAGATTTTATCTGATTCTTATTTTATTTTTATTCCAGTTGCTACATTGATGGCCGAGTAGTCAAAGTGATGGACTTCCTGAAAACTCGCCTGTTAGACACGCTCTCTGACCAGATTAGGAAAATTCAGAAAGTGAGTAAAGTCTGCTGGGAAGAAGAGAAGTGAAGTTGGGGGTAAGATGAGGGGAAGGTCACAGAGTCCCAGCTGGAATCGGCACTGTGGGAACCAGGGGGGACAGTGCAGTCCAGATGCACAGAGTTCAGAGCTTCCTTCATAAGTGATGTTTATTGTTTGTTGCTTTTCAAATTAAGAAGGGCTTGAATATGCCATATCAAGGTTTCAAAACTTCTCTAGTTTAATAACAAATATTTTGTTAATAGTTTGTTTCTAAAATGTGAGTTCCTTAAGGGAAGGATAAGTTTACTTTATTGTTTTCTCTTTGCTGGGGTTTATTTGGGGTTAGTTTAAGGATACGATGATCATATTCATTTAGTGAAATTCTGATCTGGAGCATTGGCAATTCTAGGCCATAATTATGGTATTCCTAGGTGGCTTAGAATCATCTACATATATAATAACTCCTTGCTTTTGTAGGGATATGAGGGAAGTATATAAATATATATTATATAGGGCCTCCCCAGTGGTGCATTGGGTTGAACGCAGCACTGTGAAGCTGTCCACAGCCTCTGCAATGCCATTTCAATGCCCAGCTGGCTAGGGAGAAACCCACATAGCATGGCAGACCTCTCCTGACTCACCCGCTGTTCGCCTCAGCAGTGTCTTTGGTCTGTCTGCCTGTTCTGTTCCCTGCTCTATCTCTGGTGAATCCTCTCACCCTCCCACACATCTGGCCTGTACCCCAGTTCTTGTATAAATAAATAAATCTTTAAATATATATATATTACATAATACATAATGCTATTGCATATTAGATGTAGGTCCTGTTAGCAAGACCTTTGATCAATGGTCCTCAAATTTGAGAATACTCAAAATCACCAGAAGTTATTTATAATATTTCTAATCTCACTTTAGATCTTCTGATTTATCATGTCTGGAGTGGATTCCAGACATTTCTGTTTTTAATTGTCATCTGTCAAGTGATTCTCCCCAAAGCATATGACACTTTGAGAATTGCTGAATTATTTAATTCTGAATGGTGAGGATATTATGCCTGCAATTTTCATGAGCCTCAAAAATGATGATACCACATCTTTTGTTGCCCTGTCGGGTATTTTCCAGGGTACATTCAACACTGTTCAACCTCGTGAGCTGATGAAACAAATCTTTGCAGAAAAAAATATAATAGTTAGGCCTTCTTTGATATGGGAATGACAAATAGACAAGTAGACAAGTGAACAAGTGATTCATAAAATAAACTGTGAAAGAAAATCCTATTTGGATAAATCACAGAAAACATCTTTGATCACTAAAATAGAAGTTTGTAACCTGTTTTTAAACTCATAACAATGTCATACCCATATTACAAACAGTCTCTTGAGTCCTGTTGTTCTCAAAGTGTTTTTGAGGAGGTTCTGGACTCTGCATCTGATCTGGTCCCTATGGGGATTAGGTGAATTGGCCTTACCTGGCACTGCAGTCTACTACTTGTACAAAGCTCTTAGCAAATATTGCCTTCAATGGGTATCTCCTGGAGGTGTTGCTGGGTCACAGATGCCCTGAGATTTTATTAGTGTACAGACTGAGGGGGACTTCAGGACCCACAAACTTTCATGCTCTAGTGGGTTCTGCCATCCATCACATAAAGACAAAGACCAAGCAAAGTTCTTAGTGTGAAAGAACTTCAATAGAATTAGTGTGTATAGAGAGAGAAGAGAAAAAAAGGATAATAGTTTTCCAATAAAACACCCCCAGTTACCCATCCTTTTGTAGGTAAATGTCCAGCCAAACAGGATTGGCCCAAATCAAGGCCACTGAGGCCCAAAAGCTTGCAAGAAGTCCAAGGCACCTTCTGATGGGGAACCATAGGAAAGGGGCAGAAGGAACCAGGCAAGTCTGGGACAAAAGAAGCAAAATCAAAATACAAATCAAGGTAATGGCTGCCATTGTCAGCCTCCCCACCGGTCTCTCACCCATGTCTCTTCCAAGTATCTCTACATGTCTCAACTCCATGTTGTCTCCCTCCATGTTCCCCAAGTCCTTGGTGCAAGTCCAAGGCAAAGACATAAACAGGACTTCTTCTCTTGTCTCTCTGCTCCACATGGCTCCTCCAAGTCCTCTCTAAGTCTTCAACTTCTCACGGCTCAGCTCCACCCTTCGTTAGGTGAGGCAGGGAACATGGATCCTACCAATTTGATTCATGGGATAGACTTTCCATTGGCTTCAGGATGAATGTATGGTAGGTGCTAGGTTGACCTTAAGAGGTGGGAACAGGGAGAGCAGAGAAGGGTCACCAAGCTTTGCAAAGCCTCGTAATTTGCTTTGGCTACTTCTAGTCTGTTGTCAGTGGGGAGGGGCGTCTGAGGAGGTAGAGTCCAAGGTGCAAACCAGGGTAGAGTACCCAGACTTCTTTCTTGCAAAATTTTAATATGTATGTATCTGGATCTCTCAGATGAAATCTGGAAGTGGAATCTGTTTCTCCTCTATTTTGGGAAGTTCAGTGACTCCTAAAGGCCCTCCTTAGGCTCAGAATTTTGGGGAAAGGACAGATTTCCCACCAAACTAGATTGGGGTAGGAGAGGCTAAGTGAGACTGTTTGAATAAGAAGTAAGATACAGGAATTGAAGTATGATGACTTGGGTTGGAACTCAGGCTCAGCTGTGTGACCTTGGGCCATTCACTTAGTTTCTGTGATTTTGTTTCTTCATCTATAAAATGAAGACACTGAAAATTCGATCCTCTTTCCCTCTCAGGGAGATTGCTACTGAGTGCCAGTTCTTAACGCCTATTATTACTGTTGTTTAGGTTATTGTAGTTATTTTTATATAATTTATGTGAGTGGAGAAGCCTCATGTTACCTTTATACTCAACTTATTCTTTGACTTTGTTCCTCCTTCCTCTTTTTTTGACCTCTGGAGAATATGATAGGTGATATTTTTGGCACCTGAAAGGCAGTGACTCAATTGCTAAAAACAGCTGCGATTTCCAAATTTGGACTGCCACTTAGAGAAGAATTCTCAGTTTTCTGAGCAGTGGGTGAATTCTGGCTATATGAAAATCTATGTGATGTGTTTGAAAGCCAAAAAGAGACAATGTTTGGACAGCCCACTTCTTTGGATGATCCGCACACTCTCTCCTTTCCATTAGAATGAGGATAATCATCTGTACTCTGGGAGATGAGTCAAAAGAAAGAGTTGAGAATCTCACAATGCAGGAAAGAATCAGATGGGAAAGTGAGAGATGCTGAGGATGCAGTGCAGATGGTATAGTGTGGAGAGCTGGGCTGACTCCAAAACTATGACTAAGAACCAAGAAGAACCACTTTGGCGTAAGTCACTTGGACTCTATGATTTGCATCTTCATCTCCTAGAGGAATCACAGGAGGAAATAACACATTTTTATATTATTTTCAGCAATTCAATAAGTACAGGAAGGAGTTGGTAAAATCCCAGCCATAAGAGAGCTATTTCCAAAAGCAATGTCCGAATGATTTTGAATACTGAATACACGGAACGTTGGCTGCCCTGATATTTGAAGGGTTCCTTCCTTCCTTCCTCTCTTCCTTTTTTCTTCCCTTCCTTTCTTCATTTATCAACTATTTATAGAGTTCTTAGTATTTTCCAGATCCTTGAACATTAAATGGTAAGCAAGACTGATGTGGTGATTATCTTCCTAAACCTTATGGCTTACTGGGAGAATACTTAACAAAGCAAGCAATTAGAATGAGATACAATGACTCTAATCAGGGACACATAGGGTGCTAGGAGAACCCATAACGAGAAGTCTGCCGAGGAAGGGAGATCAGGGAATTTCTCCCAGAAGAAGTGACATTCAGGTGAATACCTGATGGATAGATAACTTCTAATTCACACAATTCTTATGGTGTGGTCAGAGGACAACTGGGGGTAGATACATATGAGTAAAAAATAGTTTATATGACTCATGATATGGCCATGATCATTCTTTTGTTAATGTCACATTGCATATAATTGCTAATGATATTTAATCAAGACTACCTCTTTTGAGGTCTCAATACGCGAGGTGACATTATACCACTTCTAATATATTTAAGTTTTAGGACCATAGAAATAGGTGAGGCAGAAGGATGTTTAATGTTTTGAAATTAATTAATAAATCAAGAAAGAAAACAGAAGGAAGGAGACAGGTAGGGAAGGAAGTGGATGAGCAGAGTAAAATAGTGAAAGAAGTATAAAAGAAATGGTCCTTCTCATTCCCATATGGACCTGCTGTCTCTGCTGCTCACGTGCAGAAGAACCTAGTCTGTTGCTAACTTCCTGTCACAGTGTGGAGTGGGTGGGACCTGATCCAGATGGCCATAAACAGGTTATGCCAGCATGTAGGCATGGTAGGCGATACCTTCTAGGTGTTGTTTGGGAGTGAAGAAAAGGTGTCTTTATGGTTCAAAATGGTATTTCTGTTTGTTAATGCTAGATATTTTGTGTTTTAAAAAAATCTTTCTACATTGGAAAGAGGATGCAAAATGCAAATAACTAGGGAAGAGGTAAACTATGCTCATTTAACTTCACAGTAAGGAATCGGCATCCAATAAAAAGTCCTTTCCCAAAAGTAGGTTTTGATGGAGGGGAGGAGAAACACAGGCCAGAGAAATAGTTGCAAGAGGCAGAGGACCCCCAAAACTAAACTGTAACGCATAATTACCTTGGGCAGTATCCATGGATGATTCTAAGCTCTATGGAACCTTTCTGAGAAAAAGAAAACAAAAGAGATTTATATTTTTTCAATATATATTTGGCAATATAAGCACATTCCTAGGATCCTTCCCAGGATATTGGTAGAAAACAGTTAAAGCAGGACATTTCTTAAACTTCAAATAAATTAGCCTCTCTGTCTGCAAAGGGATAATATGACCCGAGGGAGGTGCTGGCCCTTCTCTGTCTGTCATACATTAGACACCAGTAAGTAATAAGTAGGAGATTTAGCTGCAAATGTATGTTTACCTCAAAAGAGCTCCAAAGCCACAGTCATTGTCACTC